TCATCAGTCACGAGTCGATAGGCTTCCAAGAGTCGATTGACGAAGGAGAGTTGCGAGCACTTTTTCAGTACATGCCGGTGCAAGTGGCTGCTCACAACTGCTTTGAAACGGATCGATATCCTGGGCTCAACCGAGTGGCAGCACTGACGCAGTCTGGCATGTCGCAGCTAAAGCCCGATGAAAATCGAGGCCGAAAGCGGGTGCTCATCCTCCTCTCCGACTCTACGACTGTTTTCGTTGCTGGCAAGAGAACGAGGACGGACCTTTCCTCGGATTTGAAGGCAGCGAGCTCGGGGGTCTATCTGCAATACAGGGAGATAATTTACGAACCCCTGTGGGGCAAAACATTGTCCGAAATTCGGGAGAGGGCTCAGATCCTCTGTGACCAGACGGCTCTGCGCTACTCTGGCGACCAAGAGTTGCTGGTGGACGTGCAGATTGTCTGGATGGCGAATGAGATCGTCGGCAGATACGGGATATTTTGCAGCCCCGGCGTCCCGACGTGGTGGGACCATCAATCGCCCATAGAGGCCCGCGGAGATTGGCAAAAGATCTGTCGGAGAGTTTGCCAAAACCTTGAAGCGCTTGCAGACCTGCAGCGCCGTTCTCCATATGTGGGGTCCATTGTGATCTGCACAGGAATTCGCAGCTTCGTCTACGGGTTGCCAAAGCAGTTCGATGAATGCATTGCGCGATTCAAGGACGAAGCGGTCCGTAGAGGACTCGCCGCCTGTGACATCCACCCCTTCCTTGGAGATTTGGCGCTCTATAATGACAACGTCCATTTCCGCGAGGACAGCGAATCCCGCCGCAAGATGGTTTCGGGTTTAGCCCACATCATGCAGATCGAGATCGCCGAGCGCTACGCCTCCAGAGCCATAGCGAAAATGGGCGAGGCCGCCTTCCAATCACTGCTTGCTGAAAATTATTTTGATTCCCGTGGTCGCTACGCAGTGGATAACCATGTCCTGCAAGCGGCTCTTGCGAGGATGACGAGAAGCAAGCAGGTCAAAGCGGAGCCAACGGAGGAGGATCCGTGGGACGACGCATACTGGGAGGAGAAGCGTGACGAAAGTCACGCCGAACTGCCTGCGCCTGAGGTCCCCGACTTCCTCAAGGAGATGAAGATTCAGAATGTCATCAGCGTCGCGCCCGGTGTTTTCGCAACAGAAGAGGAGATCAATTCGCCGGAATGGAACAAAGCCCCACCTAAGGTGGAGGCCGTTACCCCGGCGAGTACTGCGGCTTCGTCTTCTGGCGATATTCGACCAATGCCGATCGACGCATCCATTTATGGTGGAGGCATTCTGTCTGGCGACTCTGGCACCGAGCACGCTGCAAAAAGAGCTCGCCTCGCAAAGGCTGAGGCCGACAAGCAGCGATTGACCAAGCTCGCAGTGCAGGGATCGCGCGGAATGAGGTTCATGAATGACACCTACGACTTCGCCGAGATGACTGGCATTACCCTGTATGATTACTGGAACGAATGCCCCTCGCAAGAGGAGGCCGACCAGTACATCGAAGTGTTCCAAAAAGACATGACGCCAGGCCTACACTACCCCAGATGTGACCACAAGATGGTCACATTTGTCACTGGACTGATCAGGGGCAACTTCGAAAACAAGGGTAATCAATTTAAAATGCGATCGTGGAGCGGGCCATGGGTACTAGCCATGGAAGTGCTTGAGGTTGCTAATCGATGCAGACCTGGAAGCGACATCGGTTTAGGAAGCCTCCTCGACATGATCGCCACCGACAACAAACAGCGCCTTATGTTTCGCGGACCAATGGACAGTGCTGCCGATGCAATTGGCCAACCGGCTTTTCCGGTCTACGTCGGTTGTACGCAAGGCCACTCCAGCAATCTGCAGCTCGACAATGCCTCTATTGCAAAGGCATATCTTACACTGCAGCGTTCTGAAGAGCTGGCTAATGCCGCCCGAGAGGGCAGGCCGTTGATCCCGATTGATAAGGCGCCGCCCAGACTCTATCATCGCACAACACATGATGCGGCGTATGCGATTCTGGAAGATCGTTTGTTGCCTGGTTTTGGAGGTTCTGAGAAGGCGCATTGTTATTTTGCGCCGCTGCCGCTCGAAGAGCAAAAGGCACGTTCAGGACTCCGTGCAAGCGCACCAATTGAGATCGTCTTTGACACCCGGGAGGTCCTCGAAGCTGGTTGCGACCTATTCCTTACGGAGTCTGATGGCATACTGTGCTCCGAGGCAGTGCCCGGCTCGACCATCTTGTTCATCAATGACACGCAACGCGATGTCGTACTTTGGTCCCGTGCGGGAGGCGCTGTCCCTCCTGATGAGGCGGAACAAGGTGAAAGCCCAGCTAACGCTGAGGCCGGCATCGATATCGTTCTTGATGAACCCGAGGCTGAGGAGACGACTCAGGACAATTTCGCACCGCCTATTGATGAAGAACATGGTACCCTTCCAGCTGAGGAAACATCCCTACCGCCCATTCCAGATGTCGCTGATGTGCTTGAGGGATCGTTGGCTATCACCGATGCCCCTGCAAAGGCTGACGACGATGAAGCTCCTGATGATGAGCAAATGCCCTCCGTAGAGGAGAGGCCGCTTGTTGAACCAGGCACCATCATTGCACAGCCGGGTCCTCCAATCAGGACTGTGTACATCGGTGACGGAATGGCGACAACGGTGACGCTGGATGCTGAGGGTACACCAGTTGAAGCAATCCAGGAGCCGGTGGGAAGGCCAGAACCAGTACTTTATGCTGGTAGTGAGACCAAGCCATCCGCCGCGTTTTTGGAGAAAATCAAATGCTACCACTGCAAAGCTGAGTGTCTTCAAGGCCAAAGGATTTGCTCTCAATGCGGAGGGCCAGTTCGACCAGGTCAATTGAAGGCACAGGGCAGACGGACGCTGTTGGCACGTGGGCGTGAAGCTCTGCTTCAGGAGATGGGTGATGCCGCTGAACGAGTGGGAGTGAGGCCAAGCCTTCAAAGCGCATCGAAAGATGTCGCCGGCCGTGGCATGAACTCCTTAGAAGGCGAGGTTATTCGGAAAGCCAAAGTGGCAAAGCAGAGAGCCATGAAAAAGGGCTACACTGATTGCGTGGCGAGGTTCAATCATGACAATGAATACGCAATTTCAATGGCCAAAGAGGGATACACACGCAGAACGATCCGTGCCCTCGACTGCCTCTGCTTCGCCTACCTTCCGAACCCTGGCCGCACTCGATCGCAACGCATGCTGGCTATTGGATCCTCCAGAGCGGCGAGTTCCACGCACCAGACCCGCACGGACGAGGTTCCAGAGTGTCGTATCATTTTCTTTACCGGAGACGATGGCATTGGCGGTAAGTTGTGCGCAGCGGGACTAACGTCCACGCCGGAGGATACGCCAGTAGCATTTACATGGTACGGAGCCATCCTTTCGTTCCAAGATTTCGCTCACAACATCGCCAGGCAAAAGGGGGGCATCCGTCTACAGACTTTTGGCCACGGCAAGGTGGATTTCCTCAACTACGATCCCGCTGCAGTGGGTACGGACCTGCAGACCGTTTTGGCAAAGGACCTACCCTTCATGGTGGAGACGGTTGATGAAACCATCAAAAAGGCCAATCAAAGTCGTGCTGCCCAGCCGAAGTATGCCCAGCAGCATCCGCCAGATGGTGGCAAGGGCTCTACATATGCCCGAGCAGCAGAGAAGGGAAAAGGCAAAAGCCCGGCTAACGCCGAGGCCGCCGATCGCACCAACCGCGACTGGGACTGGGATAATCAATCCTGGTGGCAGAATTGGTCTTCGTCATCCTGGGGATCATGGCGCGGCCAGAACTGGGACAACCAGGACTGGCGTGAGTGGCGCAATCGCGGATGGCGTTGGAACTGATAAGCCGACCCAGTAGTCTGATTCTTTCGAGCAAGAGGGATGTTCACCCGGCCTGTGATATTTTTCAAGTGGCTGTGCGGCGAACTCCTATCGTCCTTGCTCCACGCTGAAACCAGCGTCTTGCATTTGAAGAAAAGCTTGCATGCAGTTTTCGCACCCTTCCTCGAGGCACACGATAGTCACATGTACTTTTGCTGATACAACTGATGACGCGGGAGGCAACTCCACGCCGATCGTCGAACTCCGAGCCGAAGCGCTCTTCCACCTGCAGGCGAAGGTATGCTGTGTTTTTGAATGCAGTGACCGTGCCTTTAGGTGAGGGGGGTGTAGTTTTGCATCGCAGCTTGCGTAGGAGTTTGTATGGTCGTGTACAGTCATCATGTTGTGTATACTATACCGTGACGTTCGTGCCCAAGCCCTCTGAGTTAAAAGAGCCGTAGTCTCGCTCATGGCTTAACGGTTTTGGTGTATTCTATAGGTTTTAGGGGTTTAGGAGTTTAGGGTTTTAGGGGTTTAGGAGTTTAGGGTTTTAGGGGTTTAGGAGTTTAGGGTGTCAGGGGTTTAGGAGTTTAGGGTTTTAGGGGTTTAGGAGTTTAGGGTGTCAGGGGTTTAGGAGTTTAGGGTTTAGGGTTTTAGGGGTTTAGGAGTTTAGGGTTTTAGGGGTTTAGGAGTTCAGGGTTTTAGATGTTTAGGGTTTAGGAGTTTAGGGTTTTAGGGGTTTAGGAGTTTAGGGTTTTAGGAGTTTAGGGTTTAGGGGTTTAGGAGTTTAGGGTTTTAGGGGTTTAGGAGTTTAGGGTGTCAGCGGTTTAGGAGTTTAGGGTTTTAGGGGTTTAGGAGTTTAGGGTGTCAGGGGTTTAGGAGTTTAGGGTTTTAGATGTTTAGGGTTTAGGAGTTTAGGGTTTTAGGGGTTTAGGGTTTAGGGTTTGCAGGCAGCGACGTGTTGTAGGACGGTAGCCGGGTTGCACAAGCTGACTGGGGCACCGCAGGAAGAAGGCTTCGTAGTATGGCACGGCGAACGGTGCAATCTAAGGGAAGCCGCACTGCTGTTTTCAACCAGAATGCTGCGTGTCCAAGCACACTGTTGATTGTGAGGAGCAGCACCAGGGATTTCACTGGCATGCCCCCCTCCCCCGGCAATTAGCAAAGATCAGGAACGTTTTCATCAGAACCTATTTGCTTCTCCTTACAAGAGTCTTGTAGCGGCGTAAGTCCCTCAGACTTCCGCTTCCGAGCAGATCTCATTGCCTCGTCCTCTACAATGCGCCACTGGTGGTGCATGCGGTAGTACAGCTCCAACTCCTTGTGGTCCTCGGCCTTTGTCAGTCCATTCGCAAGCTGTGCTTCTGAGTGGACCCATCGTATCACGACCCCCGTGGACTTTTGGGACTCCTTTAAGCTCAGGAGTTCGATGTTCGCTCTCTTTTCTGCTCCATTGATGCTGAGCATTGCCGTAGATAGCTTGTCGTAGACATTCCTGGAATCGGTGATCACGCACCCCGGAACCCGAGAAACTACTTGATCAGGTTGTCGTAGGTCCACATTGCCGTACACCATCTCGCTCCACTGGTAACGCACGTAGTAGAGCGCGTCCTCGCCGTTCACTGCTGCGGCGGTCTCAGCGGCGCCCGGGCTCCTGCACGAGCGGTCGATCCTCGTAGAGTGCCAGCTTATGGGACTTATAGAACTAACTTCCCCCTTTAACAGAGCGCCTGAAGAAGCTCCAATCAGTATGCCTTGTGTACTGCCTCCATCAATCCTGTTCTTATCTGAATGAAGCGTCCACCCACGCATAGAAATGCACCTCGGAATGTTGCTTCGTGATCAACATGCTGTGGTCCTTCCTTTGTGTCACTGACTCTAAAAGGTTGTTGGCTTTCACCAGTGTGTCGACAGTTGATTTGTTGACTTCGGAAAGCAAGAGTCCTACATCAGCTGAAACATGTGGGGCCATCTGTTGCGCATGCCAACTCAGACCACCTAACAAGGCTCTCAGTTTGGTTTTCTCATACTCCGTCGTAGGGGCCTTTCTAGCTCTTTTCCGCGTAGCACTCACATGAATGGCTTCAATGTTCTCGACATACTTTGGTTGGGATAATCGAAAACCCTGTTCACAAGCTTCCACATGCACTCCACATTGCACGAAGGTGTCTTTATCCCAATCTCCCCATCGAAAACGTTCTTGGATCTTCTGCAACAGCCCTTGCCATTCGCTATCGGAATCACTTCCCGCAAACATGAAATCGTCCACATGGCCTGAAATCATTCCCCGCACTTGACCGTCTTTTCGCCAGACCCATGCACAGGAATCGGACCACAAACGTTCTAGTCCTATGCTCTCTAAGAACTCGGCGACTGTCTTGTACCATTCAAGAGGAGCATCCACTAGTCCGTAGCATGCGGGTGGCCTGGCGGCAAACTGCTCTCCGCAACCTCGTCACGGAACCTGCTGGGATGTTCATGGCCTCGCATATCTCATCACATGGTACACAGAACAGCTCTGAAGGGTATTCGCGGCCTTGGAGGAATGCACCACTAACATCTCCTTTCATCAGTCTCCAACCTTTGTTGGCCGCTAGTTGTAGCATGAGCTGTCGCGTCTGCCTCGTCATAACCGGAGCTGTTGTGGCACGGTGTTCATACCCAGGGTCTTGATACCCCAAAAGAACTGCGCGGGCCTTTGGTTTCAAGGACCCATCTTCGCGAACCTTCCAAGTCAAGATCCATCGCATGCCGACTGCCTGGTCACGGCTCGGCCTCATACCTTCAGGAAGTGCCTCGAAGGCCTTGGCAGCAATGAAGTTCTTCACCTCCACTCCTTTAGCTCCCTGGAACTTCTCACGGTCTTCGGGGGACAGTCTCTTCTCACTCACTTCCACAGCTCGCTTCTTGAAAGCACCAACAAAGTAGCTATGCAGGTCTCGTGATGCCAGCTCCATTCCCCGTCGGCTTTCGGGCAATGGGATGGCTACTTCCACTGCTGCGCTGTCCTCGGCCCAGTAACTCGTGTGTTCGGCCATCCAAGCTGTCTGTGGCACCTTCTCACACCAGTGTTGTGATGTCACATGGAGATCCCAGTCCGGCTCGGATTGTCCCAGACGGCGTATGTTACTAGGCTGGCTGGTGCCTAGCGTCTCTCCTTCATCCATTTCCTGATCAGCTACTCTCAGCTCTGACGCTGGCCTCTTTGTTGGAATCCTCCTTCTGGTCGGTTGCACTTCACTACCTGGATCCTGAGCACGTTGCCATTCTTCTTGTGATGGCACCTCTGCACTGATATCCTCATACTGGTTGCCTCCCACTTCTTCTGCCAGTCTTGTAAATGTCCAGGGAGTGGCCTGTTCTTCTGACAGGGCTTCAACCAGTTCTTCACGTTGACTGGCTGGTCGAAGCTGTTCGGGACTGCACTTGATGAGACTCCGCCCTCGCACGCACCACACGGCATGCGCAGGCCGGCGGTTTCCGGCATCATCGGCTTTTGTCTCCATCGCCAGAATTCTTGCTGGTCCTAGGAACCTTCCTTGATTAGTCCCTGGTTGCTTCTTGCTCTTATTTGATTCCTGTGTTCGCCAGAAATAAACAAGATCGCCCGGATGGTATTGAAGCGACGGCCTGGTTCGTGAATTCAGGGCCCGTTGTATGCGCTGTTCAGCCATCCATTCGGCCAGCCCTTTCTCAGCTTCTGCTCGCAACCGTGCTTCTCGCGCAAACTCTTCTGGAGGGTGGTTCAGGATGGGTTCTGTGACCGCGGCTTGCAAGACATCCACATGGCTACCTGTGATGTCGGGACTGTGGCCCAACACATGTTGCGTAGGAGAAAATCCCCGGATCATCTCTCTTTGATTGAAGGTGGACACGGCGGTACTCAGTAGCTCTTCAGGTCCCACTTCTTTGTCCAGCTGAGTCATCTTGTTCATAAGTTGTTTGATTCCTTGAATGGCTTGCTCTGCCACTCCAATTTGCCAGTGAGCTTCTCCAGGAATGATGTCTAGGTAAATCCCATTGCGATCGCAAAACCCTTCTACAGACATGGCCCTGAAGCTACCAGCCGGATCGAGCCTCAATGTTTTGGGACGTCCAAACGTCTGGATCCATCCTTCCGTGAGGAAATTGAGGCACACGGCGGCATTGGGAGCTTGGGCTTTTCCTTTTGTCAGGATCTTAGCCATACGGAACCTGGAACCTTCGTCCACGATCACCATGAAGTTCTGTTGCTCATTTGTCGTGGGGTGAGTCCAGTGGCCCACATCACAAGTCAAGGTATGGAACTTCGGGGGCAAGGGTTCCAGTGATGCCACCTGTCTCGGTTGTACTTTCCGCTTCTCTTCGCAAACGGTACACCTGAATGATTTTGCAAGTTCGAGCACCCTGGGTTTCGCATTCCTTCGCTTCAAGGCCTCTACCATGTTTCTAATACTTCCATGACCAGTGGCCGCATGCAACAGATAGAGTTTCCGTTTGATGGCCTCATCTTGCTTGTTGCTTTGCTGTTTGAGGGGCCCACTCCAAACCTGTTTGCTCCTAAGCACATGAGCGGCCTCTACTCTTTCGGGTGGGGGCCCTGAAAAACCTAAGTTGCGGAGATGCTGCTTCAAGTCCTCATCAACGCGCACCCAACCCCTGCTGCTGTAAGCACTTAGGGTCACCCGATTCCCTTTCCAATTCTGAGTCCCATGCCACTTCCTACCGGAAAACTGAATCACCCTCTGAAACGCATCCTTCTTATGTCCCTGGACCCAGTGACCCTTCAACAACCTGCGACTGGAAACTTCACCTTCCAAAGACTCGCCTGAATCTTCAACCCACAGCTCTCCCTCAGTGTACTTCCCGAGGCCGATAAGGTAGTTGGGGGTGTCGGGGAGGTTATGCACATCACGGTGAATGTCCAAATGACAGTTATCATTAACCACAAAGGAGGTGCAATGCACAGGCTCGGGACTCCAATGCTCTAAGTACTTCAGTATGTGCCTACAAGTGTGGGGAAAAGCTTGGCTTTGCTTGGTCACTCCATAGTGGTTACCGTGTGAGTAGAGTCCGAACGCAATGTATCGGGGCTTCTGTTCTTTCACTGCACCTCGGTGTTGCTTTGAGGTCTTGAAGGGCAGTTGCTTCAACATTTGTTCGCAGGTTTCATGACTGAAGTCGCGGGCCTGGAGGCTGTTTTGGGCTTGGGTCTCAAGGCTTTTGTTGTCCTGAAGAAGTTCCACTTCCGCATCACAGGAGTCCGCTTCCGAATTTCCGAAACACTCCAGTCCTACCGCATGCTCAAAGTCCTCTTGTCCTTCAGCCAAACAACTCTGAAAAACCTGAACTGCTTGTCTTCCCTTAAGGCAACTAGCGCACTCCACTGGTAACTTCATCCCTGAAGCCTCTCCACAAGTGCAAAACTCACCTTCTCCGAAACCCTCCAACAACTGAGAAATCCCTGCACACTCCTGTAGTGTCCCTTGGTGGGACAGTTCCTGCACGAGAATGCGTGCCGCTCTGGCGGCGTACTCGGTTGTATATGGGCCGTCGTCGGTGGTTACCTTGCCTTGTCTAGTACCGTGCTTGTATTGCTTGTCACAACGACATGGCAGGTTCATGCTTTGAGCCATCCGCTTACATGTGGTCATGATTTTCCATCCTGTCTGAACCAACTTGTGATCATGTACATCTCTCAGATTCACTGCACAACCTCGGGTCACCGCAGAAAACAAGTTCAGTTTCGAGGTCCATTGTTGACAAACTGGGAGTCTCCAAGCTTGGCTTTTGTCGGCCATCTCAATGGTCACATGAATGCCACTTTGAATACACAAGTTAGCCACACAGGTCACGGCAATCAGGATTCGGAGGTCTTGTTCCTTCTGTTTCAGAACCTGGGCCTTCTGGGCTTCGTCTTTCATGTTCATGTTTTGCATAGGACTGTATCCTTTACATTCCGGAGTAATCCACACATGTTGGGGCCTCTCGAGCCTGATCCTATCAAGTTGGAGCCTCAGTCCCTCTTTCGTACTTAGATCACAACCGTTCCAAACCCCGCAACTCACTGCCGCTTCTGGGTTTTTGGTCAGTTCGCGAACCCTCTGTGCCAGTAGGCTGTTGGAATGAGCGCCACACTCCATCAAAAACGGCCGATCATATCCTGCCAGGGCCTGGAAGATCTCAGGAACAATAGCATTAGAAGCTTCATCTAAGTTACGGGCCTTGTGCTCACCCAGTTGATTACTCATCTCAGATTGACTGCCTTGGCTCGGCCTATTGGTACCCGCTTCAGCCCTCACACTCAGGGTCCTGTCCTCGGTGAGCGTGGTTTGATCGCCACGAACGACCCATCCGTCATGGTGTCCTCGTCCGACTGGATCGCCTGCTTGCGCGGTGGCTCGCGGGTCTCGCCCTTCATCGCTGCCATCTCGGCCTGGAGCTTGGCAATCATGCTCGCCATCTCGTCCAACTTCTGGTTCTGCTCCAACTTCTTGGCATCCGCATCCACAAGCACCTCCGGCGACGAGGCATTGGAATCGGACTTTCCTTCCTTTTCCACCAGGAGTCTCCCGGCTGCGCGGCTGAAGTGCTTTGGGGCCGCCGTAGACGAGGTTCCCGGCGTCGCCATGGTCCCGTAGCCGGCTGTTGGGAAGTTCCCAAGCATCTCGCCGACCGGCACCTTGTTCTTGTTCGTCGCCAGAGGGTGTGTCTCCAGCCAATCCGCCAATCTCTTCAAACGGGGATCGCAATCCTGTGGTCCCTCGCGAGCTGTCTGCATCACCCATCGCCCGTAGTCGATGTGGGTCTTCTGGATGTCCTCGTAGCGAAGCTCGCTGTGGCGACCGAAGCCCACAATGTCCCTGGCCTCCGCTGGTGCCCTCTGTAGGATGGCGCGCATTCCTTTCATCTCCAGCTGCGGCTTGGTCTCGTTCCCGGTGAGCTGTAGCTCGAGCTCCTCCGCGCAGAAGGTTCTGAGTAGGTCCTTGGTCTTCGAGGCCTTGCGTAGCTCGCGTGTCATCGTCTCGAGGGTCGTCGAGTTCATCTCCTTCTGCGTGGGCTCGGTATCGCGATTCTGGAGCTCCAGGAGGCGGGCCCTGATCTCCACCTTGGTCCAGGCCTTGGCGGGGTGCTCGCCGTACTTCTTGAGTTCCTCGGTGAGCTGCGCCTTCGTCATCTTGTACATTGCGCCCGCGAAGATCTGAGGATGGGCTAGTGGAGCCGGGCGAGGATCTGCTTGAAGCTGAATGGCCTCCAGAACAACTGCTGTCATTCCTGATCGACTCCTTTGGTCTATCATCGCCACACTCACTCATGCATGGAGAAGCAAAAGAAGCTCTACCCCTAAGCTCACTATCACTTCCCTTCTGGTTCCTGATCTCAGAACTAATTACCGCAGCAGATTCTACTTCGGAACTGCTACCCTGTCCCGTCAATTGCGAGACCTCCATTTTCCCCACGGGACTGGAGTCATGGAGGAGTTGTCCCTAGCAGTCGGCAACCACAAATGCTGCCAGACTGGGCGCTGCTTCGCGAGTGCTCACTGAATCCTTGTACCAATCTTCAGTCATATCCAACAGCTGGTGGCCTGTAGCCGAGCGCTCGGCTCGCACCAGCCTCTTCGGATCCAGTTTCCTAAAACAAATCAAATCATGTTCAAAATCTATGATGGCACCCAAACTCCTCAACGAATCTACTGACAGAAGCAAGGGCCCATCTCCATGGTCTAAGCAGTGCACTCTCAGGCGTCCCGGTTGACTGTTCGCCTGGATCTGGAGCTGTGCTGTCGATGCACAGCGGTTCTCCGACCCGTTCCCGAAGCCGAACACTGGTCGCTCATCCATGTTGAGCTCCGCCAACATGGTCTTGCCGTGCTTCTTCTCGTTGAGCTTCATGATGGCTTCCATTGCCTCGATGGAGGCCAAAGTCCTGGTCGCACCGCCATCAACGACGGCCTTTCCTTGTTGTACAGCTTCGGATGTTGTTGTGACTCCGGTGGCAAAGGCTTCCTGATTTTCCGCCGGCGCGTCGCTGAAGCAGATCAAAGAGGATGTGGCCACCGCCTGGGTACTTGCTTGCGACGTCGGTGGCTGTGGACAGTTGGCCACCCGGTGCCCGACCAATCCACACCGCAAACATGTCATTGCCGTGTCGTCCTTGGGTCCACTCTGTCCTCGTCCTTTGCCTTTGCCCTTGTTGCCATGCTGGTAGTACTGTCGGGAGAGCCTCACGTTGTGCTGTCGTGTTCGTGCATCCCGTAAGGTCCGACGGGCTTGCTGCATCACGGCCATGGCACCTTGAACTTCGCCCTCTGCTTCATCCCACAGCTCTTGTCCTTCCTCGTTCAAGTGGTCCTCCACGTACTCGGTCGCCTCGTCGTCTTCCTCATTCTCAACCTCCTCGGCCTCCACGTAGTCGCCGAGGTATAGCCGCTCTGGCGACCTGCCGGATCTCGTCGAAGAAGTTCATTCCCGGACCACTGGTTCCTGAGTTCTTGGGCCACCTTCTGTAAGGAGAAGTCGCCTTGTAGGGCGGTCTGCACAACGTTCTTTTCCTGGGTCGTCAGCCCGGCATCTTGTAGGAGGTACCAGCCCTGCACATAATCCGGAAGGAGCTCTGGCATCTCCTCGATCACGTAGTCCTCCTCGGCCTGCCAGGAAGAGGCACTCCACGAAGAAGCGCTGGACCACTGCCACCAGGGGCTAAGCCCCGAAGCTGTGACCCTGCCAGCCTGTTTGCCAGTAGCTCGGAGGTTCGTGGTTCTGACCCCAACCCCATGAGGCCTGACCATCCTCGTGCTCATCACCCTCTTCTTCACCGCCGGTTGCAGTGGCGCTGGCCACCGGTGCTGCACTTTGAACTTCAGCTGCGGGCTCAGAGGCGTGAACATGGGCTCCCGAATCGTAGCTGCTCCTCCTTGATCCCGTCCATTGTCCAGGCCATCCAGCTGAGGCTGCCTTGGTGGCCTTCCGAGGACCATGGAAGGGGGCGACTCTTCGAAGTGCTTGTTGGGCTCGGAGGTAAACTTCGCACTTCCGTGTAACGTAGTCATTGATCGTCTCTTGTGGTCGCCGTCTGCTATGCTTGAAGTAGCGGTTGAGGTACTCGCTGAGCTCGGAGATTTGTGGACGCCCCAGGCACGACCGCAAATGACGTAGAAGTTCTCCTACCCCACCATTGTAGGAGAGCCAAGTCGCGGTTTTCCCTGCCACCAATCTCCTCGCCGAACCTGTCAGTTCCGCGAGTATCTTGGGACCAGCCAGATACCGCTTTTCACGGGCCACTGACTGCTCATACATCAAGCATGCCTCCTCGAAGTCGTTGAAGCTCCCTGCTTCACCATCCCATATCGGCACTCCGTCCTTAGTCCGGTTGCCGGTTCCTCCACTCGCCGCCATTCTCTGTTGAGGGCGAACGCTCAACAGACTTGTCCCTGGATCGACTGCTCTTGAGCTCCTCAGAGCTCCGCTACCATGCAGGCAGCGACGTGTTGTAGGACGGTAGCCGGGTTGCACAAGCTGACTGGGGCACCGCAGGAAGAAGGCTTCGTAGTATGGCACGGCGAACGGTGCAATCTAAGGGAAGCCGCACTGCTGTTTTCAACCAGAATGCTGCGTGTCCAAGCACACTGTTGATTGTGAGGAGCAGCACCAGCAGCACCAGGGATTTCACTGGCAGGGTTTAGGGTTTTAGGGGTTTAGGAGTTTAGGGTGTCAGGGGTTTAGGGTTTAGGGTTTTCGCTGCGAGTGCGCTGTCGACCCCTCCATGAAGTGGTTGGGGTCGGCGCATGAGCTGCAATGCCCGCCCTCCCACCCTAATTTCAAACCTTGAACGGGCTTAGGGTTGTCTACCCCCCCAACCCCCCCTATCAAGGGGGGCTTATATAGTTTAGAGGAAGCCTCCTCAAACTCTTCTGGTGGCCTTCTGGGTGCTTCTTAAAATCCAGGCTGGGTTCAGGCCCTTTCTGGGAGGTTTTCTACGGCCTTCTGGTGGTTTCTGGATGGTGCCTTGCAGGGGCTTTGGAGGGTTTACGGGGGCAGGGCCTCTGAAGGCTTTGTGGGGGCCTTCTGGTGGCTTTGTGGGGAGCCCTCGAAAGGCTTTTTAGGGCCATGTGAAGGGCTTCTGAAGGCTTTCTGGGGCCTTGTTCGCTTTGTTGGGGACCAGAGCTTCTGGTGCCTGGTGCCTTCTGGAGCTTTGCCGTCCTTCATTTCAGCTCTACCTAAAATCCAAGCCCCAAATGACAAAATCCAAGCCCGAAGTGACAACATCCAGTCCCGAAGTGACAAAATCCTGGCTGGGTTCAAGCCTTCTGGGGCCCTTCTGGGAGGTTTATAGTGGCCTTCTGGTGCCTTCTGGGCTTTCTGGATGCTGCCTTGCAGGGCCTCTGCAGGGTTTGCGGGGGCAGGGCCTCTGAAGGCTTTGTGGGGGCCTTCTGGTGGCTTTGTGGGGAGCCTCGAAAGGCTTTTTGGTGCCATGTGAAGGGCTTCTGAAGGCTTTCTGGGGGTCTTGTTCGCTTGTTGGGGACCAGACCTGCAGGGTTTGCGGGGGCAGGGCCTCTGAAGGCTTTGTGGGGGCCTTCTGCGGGCTTTCTCCGGTCCTGAATTTTGGGTACCAAACCTTAATTTTGGAGATCAGGTCCTTAATTTACGTGCCAAACCTTAATTCTCGAGCTCCGGTCTTTAATTTTGGGTACCAAACCTTAATTTTGGAGACCAAGTCCTTAATTTACGTGCCAAACCTTAATTCTCGAGCTCCGGTCCTTCATTTTGGGCACCAAACCTTAATTTGGGAGACCAGGTCCTTAATTTCTGGTCCCAAAGTCCCAAACCTGAATTCTCGAGCTCCGGTCCTTAATTTTGGGTCCAAAACCTTACTTTTGCAGCCCAGCTCCTTATTTTAAATCCCAAACCTGAATTCTCGAGCTCCGGTCCTTAAGTTTTGGTCCCAAACCTCAATTTTGGAGCTGGTCCTTAATTTCTGTTCCCAAAGTCGATTTTGTAATACTCGCTCCTTCCCCGGAAGCAATTTCCAGGTCCGGCTTCTTCCTGGCCTCTTCCTAGCCTTTTCTGGCCTCTGCCTGGCCTCTTCCTGGCCTTTCCGGCTTTTTTATAGTCTTTCCTGTAGTTTTGCATCGCAGCTTGCGTAGGAGTTTGTATGGTCGTGTACAGTCATCATGTTGTGTACTATATACTGTGACTTCCGTGCTCAAGCCCTCTGAGTAAAAGGTTAGCGTTACCGCTCATGGCTTAACGGTTTTGGTGTATTCTATAGGTTATCAGCCGTATTCGCTGACTTTGTCTCCGTGGTATTCTTACACTGGTATTCACATTGGTACATGAGCACTTCGCCCTCTCTGCTCACTACTGAGAAGGGAGAAACAACCGAAGTATCATCGGACGAGATGGACGACGAAACAAGAGATCGACTGCTTGATGAACAACTTACAGCAGCTGGCGCGGGCCCTACGGCACCGAGCTCAGGATCCCAAGCACTTGATAGGATCTTCGGTCCAGTGGGTCCTACCCTATCTCCATTTGTCTCAAATCCAACGGTCGACATCTCAAACGTACAGTATACCTTGTACAATGTTGTGAACCAGGGTGAAACAGCCGAACAACAAAGAATGGCAATAGAGCGAACGGAGGCAGATGCTGAAAGAAGACACGCAAGCATTCTGAACCAACAATCGCATGATAATCTTGTGAGAATGGCTGGCATGGCTGAACAGGCCGAGCGCCTTCATGAGGTGAAGATGGCAGAATGCGAAGCACAGTTTGCGGAATTTGAGTTCAACGCATCCCAAAGGGAAAAGTTTTTGTTGAACGAAGTTGCAACATGCAGGAATGAAATGAACATTCTGGAATCAATTTTCCAACAACGACATCAGTCGGAAATCGCTAAGCTCAGAACTACTCTGATTGCTGAGAGCGAACGCAACAAAGCACAACATCTTGATTTTCTTGGAATGCGATTCAAACAAGTTCTTGAAGAAACCGAAGCGAGTATGGAACGGCGTTTCATTACTGAAATCGCTGAAATGAGTGCACAAAACGACAGACTGCAGGATGAACTGGCTGCCGCAGAACGAGCCCTAAGAATGGAAGCCAATGCGGACGAAGCGGGCAAACAATATGCCACGCCGAAGCCAGGACCTAATCCTGCTGTCCCGTTCTCAAATCCATTTGAGATTCCCGAGAATATGAAGGACATCTTCGGAAGAACGCCGCAAGCTCAGGAACCTCCGCAAGGAACTTCTGTACCACCTGGGTTTGAGAACAGAGAGCCACAAAAGGAAAAGTCTCCTAAAGCTGCCCAAGCGGGTAAGCCGGCGACTGTTGACCCAGAAGGGGTTCCACATGTTGATTTCGGAGCTGAGGCATTGATTAGGGCAGCACGCTTGCTTACCCCTAAGACCGAAGATGAAGAGGGCAAACCAAAGGTGAAAGAAGCCGAAAGTATCAAGCTTCCCGATTACCCTAATCCAGAGACCTACCGATCGTGGCGGATCTCGGTCCGCGAGATTGTGCGGGCTGCGAGCGATCGCCCGGATGAGGCATTTCGCTGGGTGCAGGAAGTATATGATAAAGAGGCTACCCTCAAGTCCTTACATGACACTGGGAAATTCTTAACATTGGACACGAAGTTGTTGGCTGCACTTACCAGAGTCGCTAGAGGAGAGATTTCAAGGCAAGTCCTAAACTTCAAAGAAACAGAGGCCACAGGAGGACGTGCCGTCAGGGGAAGACAAGTATTGTGGATGTTTCATCAACACTTTAAGACTAATGAAGAAGTCGGAAGCCTCTATAGCGTAGAAGACCTTTTAAAAGTGAAGTTGGTTGGGGACGACTTGGCTACCTTCCTTTACAACTTCGAGTCGGTGATTGCTGGAATGAGTCATGTTCCGGATGAAGTTACCTTGAGGGACATTTTGCTGAGGGAAATTCGGAAATCCCACCACATCAAGTACGATCTTCAGCTGTACGACAGGGCAAAGGAAGGAAACCCCGTACACACGTATGAATTCCTCGTCAATGCCATTAGGGAGCATCTAACTAGAGAACGGATGCGTAAGAACCGTGACCGCATCGCTAAGTCGCATGGCGATAGATACGGGGCCCCAGCGTACGGATCTGAACGTCGCCCCTCTTCACGAGGAGGCCGTGGAAGAAGCATGTCCCGAAGCAGCTCAAAATCCAGAACAAGCAGCAAAGGATCGAGCCAACGAACACCGCCTAGATCTCAGAGTCCCAAAACACAACAGGTTTGTTACGACTTCCAGAAAGGAAAATGCACAAGAGGCGACAAGTGTAAGTTTCTCCACAAACCAAAGTCAAGATCCCCAAGTCCTCATCGAACGCCTCAGAAGAAGATCAACGCGATTTGCACCTTTTGGAAGAAAGGCAAGTGCAACAAAGGCAAAGACTGTAGGTTCCTGCATCAAGATAAGCCCAATCCAACTGACGCCGCTCCTACTGAGCAGGCCGCCCCTGCGAAGAACGATGAAAAGCCTAGGAGCCCGACCCCGGATCCTAAAGCAAAGAAGGAAAAGAAACACAGGGGCAGGTCCAAGAGCAAGGAAAAGTCTGGCGGACGCACGGCAGCTTGTTGCATTTCGTATGCGCTGGCAGCTGTGCCCAATGGGCAAGGCGTTAAGGGTGATGCTTCAGGAACGTTCAAGAAATTAAGGTTCAAGGAGAAGCCAAGCATTCGGGAGATTCCATTGGATGGTAAGGGTAAGAAGCATAGGACCAAACCGCGAACTTTCGAAGTTTGTTACTTGGATGCTGAAAGCTGCCCAAAGCCTCCAGTTCAGGACCTAAGCACGGCCATAAGAACAGCGAACGAGCTTGCCAGGATCATGTCCTGTATGCTCAATGGGATTGAAAGCCACTGTGAGTACGAGTGCACAGATGACTGCGAAGAGGGTGAGATCCCAGTTGCAGTGTTGAAGTGCGAGCTGTGTTCTAGCGTGGAAAGAACAGCATGCTCTAGCTTTAATGCGGGATTAGAATTCCTCGCCGATACTGGCAGTGAAGAAGATCTGATCAGTAGGCACGATCACTCTATCTACTACCCAGAGGCTCCCATCGAAAACGCTAGTAGGCCGGTCAACTTGATTACAGCTAATGGTCCAGTTCAGGGAATCAAGTCAACCAACATCCCGATGCCTGAACTGAAGCAAAACATTGAGTGCTATCTACTGGAAAGCACGCCACCGGTGTGTTCTGTTGGGAGAAGATGCATGGACGATGGATATGATTTCCATTGGCCTGCGGGCAAGGTTCCATACTTTATAGCTCCCGATGGTAAAGTCATCAAGTGTAAGATGAAGGGTAGAGTCCCAGTGATCTCAAATGATGACTCGGTAGCGAGCCCAGCAAGCGCTGATGATTCCCAG